TGCATGTGTTGCATTGTTGTATGTGTGTCGTGTTGGCATGGGACAGTAGGTCCGGATATGTTATATGTATGAAATGATGTTTATATGGTTTCTACCTTTATTTCATGTACATTTATATCGTTAATATTTGATCGTGATTTCTCACCCCTCTGTTGTTGTTTTGGTCTGTGCTACTTTGGAAGTGCAGACAATCCAGGTGTTTAGCTAGCTTGGATGCGGCAGTGTCATAGGATTGCTCTGATACGTAACATCGGGGCCTTTGGGGAGTTTTCATGTTTGTTAATGATTATGTGTGCCCCCGTGGCGTATCTTATTTTGTGGATTGGCGATGATGTTGGATGATTATCTTGTATATTTTGGGCAGTGGCCGTACATGTTGTACATGATGATATTGATGATGTATATATGATATGTGGTTTATGACAGACTAGTTCTTTTTCCGCTGCAATATTACAAAGAAATTAGTTTGAGAAATGATTTGTGGAATTTTGTTGAAATTGTGACATCCCGTTGTGGGAAAACTATGATATGTGCTTATTTTAATTGCTTTATTCTATTTTGGGGAAACGGGGTGATACAAGTTACACAATGGATATAGATCTTTTTGTGTACCTATCTTTAACGTCTCTTAGTATTATAGAGTAACAATGACACTTATGCAAGTCATCTCTTCCAACGGCTATTCTTTTGTATCTTCTATTTAAGTAGCTAAAGATTCAATATGTAGAATCAACAAGGAACACGAAAAAAAAGGGCCAAGCAGAAAAAGAAGCATTTCACGTTTATATCAAAAAGGAAGAATAACAAGATCAACAACAACATCGAGTATGCAGAGTTTCTGTTATCTGTTGTAAATTGTACAAAGCTTTAATATTTTTTAAACAATGAATGTCTTAGAAATCTTAAGTGTTATGATCTTTGTTATAGTTATTGCCCTATACCTTTGATTGTATATCAAGTACACCTTGTTGTCTATTCTGCTAAACATGTCTTTACTAGTTTATAAAGAAAGTCTCTTGCTATGTGCTTGAACATCAAAGTCTCTTGCTGTGAGCTTGAGCCAAGTCTCCTGATATGTGCTTGAGCATTGAAGCCTTGATCAAATTTTTGATTGAGCAAGGAAGTCTTGTACTTGAGGGTATAAGCAGGAAGTCTTAAATCCATGGGATTTAAGCAGGAAAGTCTTAGATTCATGGAATCTGAGCAGGAAGTCTTGTACATGAGTGTATAAGCGGGAAGTCTTGGATTTGTGGAATCTAAGCAGGAAAGTATTAGGCTGTGAGTCTGAGCAGGAAGTATTGTACTTGAGGGTATAAGCAGGAAAGTCTTAGGATCTGATGATCTAAGCAGGAAGCTTGATCAGTTGCTAATTAAGAAGGAAAGTCTTAGGTTATAGGTATGAGCAAATAAAAGTTTTATGCTCGAGGGCATACACAATTGTAATCATTGTTTGATTATAGTAGAAAATCTCTTATGTTGCAAGAGGACTGGACTACTCCTAGTTAGGGAGGAACCAGGATAAATCTTTGTGTGTTCATTTGTCATTTACTTGCTTCTACTATAATTCTGCTGCAAATTGTTAATCAGAATCTAAACTATTATTTAGAATCTGAACTCTGTTTAGAAGCAACGCAAATTGGAAAACACAATTCAACCCCCCTTCTTGTGTACTTTTCTCACCTTCAGCGAGGTCTTCGTGGTTAAACTCTTGCGATTGGTTGGGAAGTTAGCCTTTTTAAAACTCCAATCCTTTGTAAGGAGGTTTCATGGGAAAATCATATCAAAAGCTCACATCATAGTGGAAACTCTCAAGAAGGAATTCTTGATAAGATGGCGTATTTCAAATACCCTCCAAAAGAGATCAAACTCAAAGATCCTTTTTCATCTATTGTATTTCCTCCATGTTCTTCATAACTTCTAAAAACCAATAAGAAAGGCATTAGAAAAGGAATTATTCAAACAATAAATCGAGAGGAGTAAAGATTTATATGTAACCTACCAAAGATAGCCTTCCTCTCCCCCTCGATTTTGGAATTCACCAACCAGTGAGTGGGTCTCAATAAACCTTATCAACTGCTTCTTTGAAGTTGCATCAAAAGGAACACCATTGTTGACATTAATAACTCCTTGTAAAAGTCCACAACATGCCTCTTTAGATATACCTGTTCTTGGGACATGTCCTGTCCTCATCTTTGTAAACATAAGAATATTTCCCCATCAAGAAATAACTCTAGCACCATAACATGCGGAACAAATTTCTGCACACATATGGAGGAATGGGTTATATTTTACATATCTTTATTGAAGGGAGTGACGAAGAAGAACCAATCCTCGAAATGTTTCTTTTTGTTAGAATAATTCTCGAAGAATTTGGAATCTTGCCTAAAAGAAAATTAGATCTAGACCACATGTGTGATCACTCATGTTGTTTTAAGTCTTTAAAATATGGAAGAATAGAGCCTCGGTTGGCATGTCCCCTTTATTCTCACAACATTATTGAAAACCCTTGACAAACGCCAACTCATGGGATGCACTTGCAAAGGGGAGGCAATTAAGTGATTCATAACACTAATCTTAAAATCATTGCATGGAATGCATAAATCAACCAAGGAGAATGAACACTCGGGGAAGATAATGACACACTTATCATATTCACTACATATCTTCTTGTACCCATTTGGTGGAAACACCCACATTCAGATGAAGGAGATGGTCGCCAATATTTCTTGTTCCTAAGCATTATTGGCACAATCTCCATAGTAAGAAACTTTACGAACTAAGACTGACGCGAGTAGTATGGCGTAAATAAGTAAATTCAAACACAAACACTCTTGTCAAATGGTGTCTACAATAAAAGAGATATCTTGAAATAAAAGCACCCATCAAATCCTAGAAAAGAAAACCCTATACTTATACTAAGGGCGATGGATTAATTACTTGCACATGTCCAGTGCCAACGAACAAAGATCAAGTACGAACTCAACCAAAAATTGGAGCAGCAAATATCACAATAGAGAATGATGGTAGAAAGCATAGAAGTGTTATGTTTCAAGCCGCTAATGGCAGAAAAAGGGTAAAATCTGGCTTCAGGAGGCTTTTATATGCGCCTTATTCATTAAGGATCTTGCGAGATACTGCGTGCCACCAATAATTGAGATTTCATGGAAGATCTTTTAAAATACTCAAGGACTCGAAAAAAGATGATGCATCATCACCAACTAGTGAAAGGGAAAGCGTTAGTTATTCCTAGTGGAATGTTACATATTACGAAAAAGGTATTCAATGTGCTTGTTCCCATTGACAATGACGTCTCATCAAAGGCTTTCACCTCACCTGACAAAGCATCTCGACAAGAGCATGTATGGAAAAACCTCACCCTACAAAGCAGAGATAAGGGCATGGGGAGAAACATTTCTAGGTTGTCTATAAGATCAAAGATAAAAGGCTTAATGATATAGAGAAAGTGGTAGAGCGCAAAGAATAAGTAAACCTCTTTTTCTCTTGAAGTACGTAATTTCATTCATTGAAGCTCTGTTGAATGTCCAGATCAATATGAGGGCTAACTGCGATCCCTACTTCACTCAACACTTTTTATAGTTAAATGCTCCCCTATTTAAGAGGAAAGATGCGTTATTTTTCAAATATTAAAGTTCATTGTCACTCTCATATCAATTTTTGTTTTCTTACTGACTTGGATGTCAGAGTGCTAACCTTACAGATCGGCCCCTTCTCCACCATACTGGAAGCTCAAGTCCATCATAGGAAGCACTACTTCATTATCCATCTAACGATTTTGATACCGCCACATATTATTATTATTATTATTATTATTATTATTATTATTATTATTATTATTATTTAGAAAAATGCCTTAAACCCTAGTGATGAAGTGAAGGAAAATGTGTTTTGAAAATTTCAAAAATCATAATGTTAAAGAGTAGCAAGAAAGTTGACTTAGGACACAATAGTCGTGAGGCAGCAGTTTGCGGTGGCGGTCTGAATAGTGATTTGCATCAACGGAGAATGATGTTAGCATACGTTTTGGCTGAGTGCAAAGGGAGTCGGCCAGATGGGCAATGGGTTCGAGCAGTTTGTAAGTATTATGTATGATCATTTTGGTTTAAGGATATGTTCGTTAATGAGTCGTGTTGAATTTATTATGAATATGTTAGTTTTCATCAATTATAAATATGTATCTATATCATTACTGTTATCACTTATTGTAACTCGAAAACTTAAAGAGACATGGGTAGAAATTTACTGAAGTTCTTGAAATTTGGAAACTATTTAGAGATATTTAATGAAATTGAAAAACACCTCAAAAGATTTTGGGTTTGTGTGGTTTATATATAATGAGGTGAAAAGATTGTGAAACACTTGAGTAAAAAGCGAGTTTTGTTCTTTAAAACTTCAGGTACTATTTTCTTATGATTTTTTTAATCTCTTGTAATAATTATTAAAATAATAAATTAGAAAGTTTTTTTTTTTTTTTTTTATCTTTCAGCTTTACAAACTCATAAAGAGTTGTTTTTCTTAGACAAATGACAAAAGTTTATTTAAAATAGACATTTTGAAAGAAAAAATACATATACAAATTTAAATGTCTTATAATTTGAAATTTTACTAAAATTATTTTATACTATTTCTTCATGAGAATAAATGTATAAAAAAAAAACATGGTTCTTCCCTTGTCCATGTAAACAGTAGTAGCTTCAAAGTCTTGTGTGAGAATGGTGTTCTCTTTATAACTTCAAACCATCCCTCAACAATGTACATAAGGGAAAGATTACAAAGCAAGCCTGATTGAGAAAAAAACAAAAACTAGCTTAAAAATACAAGATTACAAACCAACCTAAACAAATTATTTCTTTAGTAACATCACCAAGAATACTAAATCAAACTCAACCCTTTCTTTGGATGCATCACATAACTTCCTATCTACAAATCAAGAAAATACCACAATTATAATGATGGGTCTAATTCCCAATCTTAGATATACTTTAGCACTTCTCCTCAACTGAAGATCCATTGATTGTTCCCATTTGCATTGATGGCTTAGCCTTCTTAGGCTTATACCAAAATGCACACACCAAAAATGCTACAAAATTAATGATACTAAGTATGGTAAGAAGTGCATAGAACAAGTCAAGTCTTCCTTTGTTTATATGGTCAGCTAGCCATCCTTGTCCATCTCTAGTCCCAGTTACTTTTTTCACAACTGACACAAGGAAACTGCTGATGAAGAAACCGAGCGATAGCGTTGTGAGGAAGAGACCTGTGCTCATTGTTTTCATTCCTTTTGGTGATTGTGTTATGAAGAAATCAAGCTGTCCTGTGTATATGAATGCTTCACCAGAACCAACCAAGAAAAACTGTGGAATTAGAAGAAAAACACTTATTGGTAGTGATGTTTGGTTTCCTTTTACACCTTTTGCCACTGATAGTCTTTTCACCTCGCCTAGCGAAGCAGCTGCCATTCCAAATGCTGATAACACAAGTCCAATGGCAATCCTTTGTAGGTTGGTGAAACCTATGAGACGAGACGCGAGTTAGTACTAACTATGAGGTTCAGGGTTTATATTATATGCATCTGCGTAACAAATCATGAATTACGAGCTGTTTTATACCTGGTTTTCCGTTCATTTTCTTCCAAAGGGGCATGATGATTCGATCATTGACTGCGAGAGTGATTAGGATTGCGGCCACAAAGAAGACAGTGAGAGATCCTGCAGGGATTTCAAAACCTCCAACATTCCTTTGCATTGTGGAGGCTTGTTCAACTGAAAAGGTGATCATTTGTGCATATGTGGTCCAAAATATAATGGTTGTGGCCCATATTGGTAGAAGTCTCACCATCATTTTCACCTCTTCTACTCTTGTCAGTGAGCATAGCTTCCATGGATTTGGACCAGAACCATATAAATCCTTATCAAAATCACCTTCTGCCACAATCGCCGCTTTCTCCAAAACCCTACAAAATTGAAAAATATTAAAAACAGAAAAGAATAGTAATCACAACTAGTCTTCACTAACTTGACAGAAACCATTTAGAAGGTTAGACGAAGACGAGCTTAATCTCACCGGAACTGATCGGTGTGTTCTATTCTAGATTCCTCAGGAGTGTCCTCATACAAAGATCCAACATTATATGGAAGGTCCATCTTCCTTTTCTTCACAGCTGCAACAATAACTTGAAAAATATGGACAATAGGACTTCCCAAACTCTTCTTGTATCGATATCGTTTAGTTCCTGATAAGAATACCACAATGGCTATGATCATAGAAACCGAACATATTCCATACGCCCAACTTCGACTAATTTTGTCTTGTATGTAAACAAGCACTGTGACGGCTGCAAGAGTTCCCAAACTGATGAAGAAGAAAAACCTGTTGAAGAAATAAGTCATTTGCGAATTCTCCTTCTCGTCTTTGTCGTCAAACTGATCAGAACCAAATCCTGAAATGCTCGACTTAAGTCCACCGGTTCCTAGTGCAATAAGGTATAGAGCCAAGTATAAGATTCCCATTTGGATTCCATTAGCCGGCTTGCAAACTTCGCCCGCGTGACAAGGTGGTGGACTTAGCCGTGGCAATTTCGTTGAGATTGCTAATGCTGCAGTACCCTGAAATCACCATTCCCTCAAAGCTAAGAACACATACATTGATACTAATGGAAGCCAAAAAAATGCTCGAAAAAATTCGAGTTTATTTCGGCTAACTATATATGTAACTAAACAAACCAGTGTTTGTATTGCAGCAAAAATTCCAATAGTCTTGAATCTTCCAAGGAAGGAATCTGCTAGAAAACCACCAAGCAAACATAGGAGAAACGACGTGCCCATGAAATCGGTCACGGTATTGGCTGCAGTTGAGCTTGGAAGATGCATGACTCCCATCAGATATGTCACCAAGTTCACTGCAATCCCCATGGTGGAGAGCCTCTCAACAATTTCAATCCCTGTAACAATTTTCGCAAGTACATTTTACTCTTTGATTTCGTCGCATGCAAAGATTCCTCTTCACAAGAAGAATAATACATCTTCTGATCATTATTATATACAAAGATTCGATTTTCAAATTTATAAAATAACTTATATATATATGATTTAGATATAGATTAGATATATTAACTATTCAACGGAAAAAAAAGAATATTCGCTTATAAAGAAAATCCAAACACGTCAAAATCAATTATGCAATTTTGAAACCAAATTTTCCTCCATCAAAAGTGAAACAAATAGATATGATAAATGAAAAGTGAATCTTAATCAAATAAAAAAAGGACAAAATATAGGAACAAAAGAGTCCATTCTAAATCCACCTAAAGTAGAACTCAACTTTTAGAAAGTAGAGAATAAAATAAGATTTAAAAAAAGTTTATTAATAAGGAGTATGAGTATCTTAATTCACATCAAAAACCTTATATATAAATATTCTTTTCTTTCCTCCAACTCCAAACAGAAAATGACAGAAATTATTTTCAATCAATATGTAATAAAATGCTATATAGTTTTTATTTCACATGGTTTGTTTGTCCTTCAATATTCTTTTCTTTTGTCTACTTCCTCAAATGCAATCATAACCCCCAAAATCATTTTTCTCAAATCATTTATTATTACTGACAATTTTTTTCATTCAATTATAATGACTGAAACATGGTTACTGTTAAGTTATAAATAATTTAAGAGAAATTAAAACTATTAATGTAACACATGTACTTAAAAGTTGTTACAGTTGGTTAGTAATTAAAACCATTAATGACATCCAACTACTATTTCAAACTTTTAAGAGATTTCATGTGTTTAAAATTAAGCTTTGTGTTTGGCTATGCCTCAAAACTACTATAGAGTTGTTAGAGAAGAGAAAGTGCTCCAAAAATGGATTATATCCTCTAAACTATGCAACACCATCTTCAAATACACTATGTTTTTCTACTTCATCAATATGAATCACAGAAAGACACAAGATATAACCGTTAGTAATCATAAATGTCAGTGTTGTGTTGGTGTCGGTGTCTAACACTGACATGGACACGCATTTTTTCAGAGGTGTCGGTGTCAGATGAGTTATAAAATATGTTAGAAATGTTACAAACCTAAAATAAGAGCAGCTGGAACCCAACCACCAGTTTTGGACCTATCAGCAGGAAAGCCTTTATAGTCCACAGCATCTCCAACTGTCCAACTCAATTTCTTCTCCTGAAAATATTCACACAAATATTTACAAAAAAACAAAACTTGAGTTTTCAAGTCAAAGGCCAAAAACTTATGACAAACTAACCATGTTTTGAAGGTTCACAAAGAAAAGAACTATAGGTGCTAATGTAGAAAGAAAGAAGCTCTAGTCTTGACTTTGTTAGTCCACACACTTTAACTCACTGCATAGGTTTGTTATGAAAGGTTTCCTATTTATAGGGAAAAAGTGAGTTCAATAAAGACCAATAAGAGTTTGAAAGTGACAGATCCACTATATTCATTTGAGAAAAATGGAGACAGATCACTCTTTCAAATAAAGTTAAGGGATTAGGTTTGGCACACAAAATATAAAGTGAAGGTTCTAGGATTGATTTAAACCGTTTATTTTCTCAAAAGAAATTGATTTATTTGTGAGTATTATTAATGAGAGATAGTAAAAATTAAAGGTAATGTTGATTGATGAAGAGAGATCACGAGGAATTAGTGGAATATGGGAACAACATTGCAATCTGTGATCTTTTCTTTTGTGCTATGAAGGCTGTGATTGTGAGCCACTACATCATTGGATGACTCCTTCAAAGTGGTTTTGTTGCCCCACTTTTGAAAAGGATTCATAATCTTTAGGTTTTTGTTGTTGACGATTGTGATTGTAGTTAGAAATGTAAGGACTCAATTGTGCCATTGATGAGGATTTATGGTTTGAATTGAAAGAAGGTTACATGCATTCACATTGCTTGTATGAACAATAGACTACAATTATAGAACTTAGATATACTTTAGATTATGTTGATGTGTATACAATTTGTTTTTGGAGGAAGCTGACTTTTTTGTTTTGTTTTTGGCATACCTTTCCAATTGTTTTTTCATGTTTTTTTAAAAATAAAATCAAATATTTTTTTTACCACAACAGTACAGTCTAATTTTAGAATTTGAAAAAAATTATAATATCAGTAAACAAAATTCTAATATTTATCAAGATAAACCCTTACACAAAATTGAATTTAAACTTATGATCTCTGATTAAGTTAAAAGAAATTTCTTACCATCTACTTTTCTTGTGTGATTTAATATGTTAATTGTTCATTCAAAGAAAAATATGTTCAATTATTCGTCTAAAGGCATATCCATAAAAGAGTTGAGGGTTTAATGCACCTAAAACAATTTGATCCATACTAGATTCACTCCACATGCAGTTATGCATCGTTAGATATGTTTTAACTAATTTGCGCATTCAACACTAGGAAACACGGGGTGGTTCTAAATGTCCCTCATATATGATGTATCTCAAGATAAATTTATATATATGTTTTAAATCATAAATTACTCAATTTCTTGGGGTTGATTGATTGACTTGAATGTTACTCTTTCCATTTAAAATGACTGTCGTTTAAAGTTTTTGCACACAAGTTAAAGAATGAAATGATATTGTCGTAAGATAAATAATGTACATAATAATAATAATAATTATATAACACAATTTGAAAAACATTAAAATATGTAATATACTGTGTATGTTATAATATGAAACCTATGCAACACTTAAGCAACATTTAGAATAGTTGTTGGTTTGTGCAGTTTGATTATTATCCTTAAAGTTTTTTTTTCTTGGGATAAATAATAACTAGAATATGATGTGGTTGCAAGATGTTTTAAATGTGAGAGTGAGAGATGAATAGAAATTGATAGAAATATAAAGGCAAAAAAAAAAAAACAATCATCTTGTCTACAGTAAAAATAACAAAAAGTCAAAATGTCATAAATATCATTTAAGATTGAGAAATTGTCTTTGCCGATGCAACTGGAGGTAATTGTGAGGGCAAGATTCATTTTTACTATGTTTTAATAATGTCAAAACTAGGATATTAAGTTCTTGTGTATTTTGAAGGGTATCACCTTGTCTAAGTCATGCATTCATCTCTTACAAACGTGCATAAAGATCTTTATACATATATTAACATATAGGATCATACACAATGTCAAAAATGGGTTTTTGGATCATTTTTATAGTCATAGGTCGACTCACACTAAAGGGAAAATCTTTTGAAAATTTTTGCCTTGCATGCACCTACCCTAGGTCAGCGCATGGGTATCTACAAGTCGACTCACACTGAGGGGAGAATTTTTAAAATTTTCTGCCTTGCATGCACCTACCTTGTAGGTCGACGCATGACATTTAGAGGTCGACGCATGAGTGCATGTAGGTCGACACATGGGCCAATTTTGTGCAGTTTTTGGCCACTACCTTGTTCAGGTCAACTCATAGACGCAAGACGTCGACCTCTCGCGCATCTTTATCCATTTTTATGTGTGTTTGTGTTCCCAAACTTAGTTTTTCTTTAGTTATTCATGTACATACATATATACTCATATGCATCACTTTGAAAATATAAGAAGAAAATTGATAGAAACATTGTCTTACTCTTCATCTTCACTCTCACAATTCCATTCATCAATAATCATACATAATCATCTTTATTGATTTTGTTTTGTCAAGAGTGATAATGTCCAAACATAGGATTTTTAAATCAAGTTTGGATAGAGATTCAGTGAGATTTTCATTGATAAAACCATTAGGGTTTTGTCGTCCAATATCTTGAAAGAATTGGGGGTTTTTTTCACAAGTCTTAGCATCACAGATTCAGCTGAGTGAAAGCCTTGAAGAACAGAAGGTTCGGTCAAGGGAGTAACAGTAATCAGAGGATTATTTTGAAATATTTGAGGTTAAGCATCTTGCGATCGAAATCAACCGAGTGAAAGACTTGAATAATGGAAGGTTCAATCAAGTGAGTAGCGGTAACCGAAGGTTTATTTGAAGTATTTGAGGCACTTGATTCAGTTGGAATCTAGGGGAGAGAAGTGGTTAGATTTAATATCAACAATTGGGTTAGATTGTTGGTTAGCTAGGACTTCTCTTGTACTGAAAATTGCACACAAGTATTATACATATCTCAATTATAATTTAGAATTGAGGGCAGACGTACCCTAAGCAAAGATGAAAGGGAAACTGCCTAAACAAATCGGGTCTCTCTCTCCCTCTCTCTCTCTCTCTATCTATCTATCTATCTATCTATCTATCTATCTATCTATATATCTATCTATCTATCTATCTATCTATCTATCTATCTATCTATCTATCTATCTATCTATCTATCTATCTATCTATCTATCTATCTATCTATCTATCTATCTATCTCTTTACCTTTATATTGTTGAAATTTGTGTGAAATCAATTGTTAGCGATAATTCGATTGAATTTGTAGTGTTTCAAATAGTTGTATAAAACCATTGCAATCACTTTGATTGCAAGTGAGAAAAATTAGGCACTACAAATTCAAAGGAAATTTGACTTGTAGTGTTTTTCACGCCAAGTGTTTGATATATTGATAACACACAAACTGTTTGATATATTGTCAATTCAAATTTTATCCTCAATTAAGCATTGGACACTGGTTCACCTTAAGTGGCTTTTATTTGAATAATTGATTGGGAACCGTACTGATTATACACTCTTATCAAGATCATTCTATTCGGTTTCACATATCCAATCTTTCCAATAAAGGTCAATTTAGACGAGTTTTGGTCCGAGGTCGCTTTCGCATATTTTAGAATAATTTTTTAAAAGCGTAAATTATTAAAAATTACTGATCTATTTAATCCCCCTTCTAGATCAGTGCCATCGTCTAACAAGTGGTATCATGAGTTCTGGTTCATCTAGTGCTTCGTATATAGCTTATTGGAAAATGACTAACAAACCTAAAGGGATGTATAATAGAGCGCCGGTTTTTAATGGTGAAAATTATAGTTATTGGAAAGATTGTATGCGGGTGCATATCAATTTTGGTAATAGAAAGGTATGGAACATTATTTAAAATGGTCTTATTGAAATAACCATGACCAATGCGGATAATGTTGTTTTACATAAACCAGAAGCACAATGGAACGATGACGATGAGAAAAGTATAATCATGATTGGAAAGCTAAAACTATTCTCATATCCTCTTTGGGAGTTGATAAATACTATAGGGTTTCTCATAGTACGACCGCGAAGGCTATATGGAACGCATTACAAGTTGCACATGAGGGAACAAATGATATCAAACTAGCTAGAATCAATACTTTAACTCAAGAGTTTGATCTCTTTCACATGAAGCATGGTGAAACCATTGCGGAAATGCAAAAAATATTCTCTCACCTAGTCAATTGTTTAAATTCACTTGGTAGACCTGTTTCCAATGATATTGTTACTAACAAAATTTTGAGATGTCTTAAAAGGGAATGGAAACCTCAGGTCACAACGATCAAGGAAACTAATGATCTCATGACATTGCATACCACAATATTTTTTGGTAAGCTTGAAGAACATGAGCAAGAGCTCATAATTCTTGAGCTACATGAAAAGAGAGAAAAGAAAGAGAAATTAAAAGGCATGAACAAGAAGTCTATTGCTCTAAAGACTTCTAGCTCAAAGTCCTCCACCAAAGAGCTTAGTGAAAGTGAGTCAAATGATGATGATGGATATTCGAATGATGATATGGGGTCGTTCGTAAGAAGGTATAATAGATACATCAGGAAGAATGGAATACAACATTCAGAAAAAAATCTCATTAACTTTAGACGTCAATCAAAATCCTCAAAGCAATAAGGAGATAAGAATACAAAATCAAAGGGTTCATGCTTTAATTGCGGAAAGGCCGGTCACTATAAGTCGGATTGTCCATTGATAAAGAAAGACAAAGGAAAAGACAAACACCATCAATAAAAGAAGTCGAGCAAGCCTAGAAGGGCATACATCGCATGGAAAAGTGATAGTGAGTCCTCAAGCGAAGGTGGCTCGAGTGATAAAGACAAAACGATCAATCTTCGTCTCAAGGCTCATCAAAAGAAGAAAATGAATGTAAGTCATTCTAAATATGAACATATTGATAAAAAAATTTATTCTGATTTGCAAAATGCTTTTGAAGCTCTACATCATGAGGCTAAAGATGCTTTCAAACGCTTAGCCTCAAATAAGAAAACTTTCTTACATTTAGAGAAAAAGATTTCTGATTCTAAAAGGGAATTGAAAGCTATTAAGAAATCTATGGTAGA